TAATTTGGAGAACAATCATAATAGAAATTTGCAGAATCTTATATTCCTCCATAAATTAATAATGTATAATCAACTATAGTAGTACCAGGAAAAAAAAATTCTAAATATTGATAAATTCATGCTTTATTATATATCATATCTATACTTTTTTATTCAATTTTTAGTATTTTGTTTTATTATTATACTAAATCACCTTTTCTAATATCTAATTTAAGAATATTTAAAGAAAATTTATCTTTTTCTTCTTTCCAATATGTAAGTTAATCAAACTACTTCCAAAAAATTAATTCTAATTAAAAATTTAAATATTCCCAAATCAATAAGGATATTAATATCATTTTAAATCATATAAATTTATAAGTTAAAACCCACTCGATTAATAATATAGTAAAATTTATCAAAGAATATTGATAAAAGTTTATAAATAAACATGAAAATTTAAACTTTAAAGAATATAAACATAACTTAAAGTGTAAAATAAAAAAATAATTATAAGATAAAACTTAAAGAATGTATTTAAAAATAGAATGAGACAAAATGTAAGTATTAATATATTTATTAGATTATAATTCTTAATAATTTTACCCTTTGATATTAGACAAAAGACAATGATTGATTTAATTAAAAAATATAAAAATAAAGTTAGACTATAATTAATTTAATCATTTCCAAAGAAATGACAAAAAGTCTGGCATTTCAAATGGTATTAGTTCAGCCCAATTTGAATAAGATCTATCACTATCTTTATATAAAAAGGTCATGCTAGATGTTAATGAATTCTGTAAACATCCTTTATCATCTTCAAATAGTAACATGACTAATCCCCAAACAATAGCAGCTTGTAATGGGAATGCATCCCATGATTAAGGTAATAGTTTTCTTCTCTAAATGTTTGAAGCCAAACCTATAATTACTCTACTCATAACATAAAGAACAATTTATTAATTGACAGCAGATTTATTTCTTCCAAAAACTAGATATCCACAAATAGCTCCACTTATTAGATTATGAAATTTTGACTATTTCTTTCTTATGTTATTTAGAATACAAACTATTGATTTATAGAGGAAAACAAAAATGCCCAAATTTTTTGCATGTTAGTACGTCAATTGAATAACAGTGATGAATTTTGATTTGATTGATCCAGGTCGAAAAAGAAAAGTCATAACTAAAGCATGAAAGAATCTTATCTTTCCTCCATAATATATACCTTATCTTAAACCAAGAAGAGATGATTTTACACAACTCTCATGATTGCAAATTTGTGATGACATTATTATATAATTATTATATTATTTAAGCAATCACAAATTGTTGTTTATTATTTAGCTGTTTCAAAAATATCATATAAAATTTGTAGTAATAAGATAAAATCTAGCTTTCAAGAGTAGAAAATTATATATTATTTCACCAAAATTCAATTTATTATATATGATCAAGTAATAAAATCATTTAATCAATTGATTGTGTATTTTAAAATATACATTTATATACTTCACTTAAATAAGTTAATCAAATTTTATAGTAGGCTAACCAAAATTAACTAATACTGAAATTAATTCAGAAGTTGTTAGTTCTTTTTTCAAAATTCAGAATTCTAATAGCAAAATTTTAACTAAATTAAAACTAATCTTATCCTATAGTATCAATTGGAACTTAGTAAATATAGGTAGAAAATTTTACAAATTATATCCAAGTTTTAACAAGTCTTGTTAATTAATTATGATATCTTATCAAGCATTTTTGAATTCAGGGTTGCAGATAAATTAAAGATAGGAAACTATATCAAGGACAAATTGAGTACATATTGATCTTTTTTTATTTACAATGCTCTACTTATGAAATTCGAAAAGAAAGAAAAGATATATAGAAGAAATTACATTTAAAAAGTTCATATAATTTTTATTATTTTGTTCTTTAATGTTTACAATTGATTATTACAACCCTTTTCTATAAAATTTTCATTAGGAATCTATTTTTAGTATTTAATATACATTTTTATCATGACTAATTTTACTTTACTGATTTATATACCAATATACAAGACTGTTTTTCAATTGTTTTTTTAATATGAGTATTTCTATAATTTAAAATAATATAGAATTTTTAATAGCACACCTTATTACCTTATTGCAACTTGGTTCATTATTTATTTATTCATTTTATTAATTATTATAATTTGCACAATTGAAGGAAACAACAATAAAAAAAAAATACTCAAGATATTTAATTAAAAAGAATAAAGAATAAAATTAATTATTTAGAATTGGCAGAATTAATTTTGTCTGCTAATATTTTAAAAGAAAAATCAAATTAATAATATTAGATATGCAAAATTAAATATATCTTTAAGATTAATTAAAGTGGATTTAATTTTAGTATAAAATTAACGAGAAATATTTTATTTAACCAAAATCGTTATGTATTTTAAAAGTATAAAAAAGTAATAATAAGATGATGATTTTAATGTTTAAGAGAATAAGGATACATCTGTATTAGAAAATTAAATTTTAATAATACTTGATAAGGGAATCAATTATTATTGGATGAGTTAAAACTCAAAGTTATTGTTAAACTTTTAAGTGTAATTAATTTAATTATTATGATGAGTTGAATATCAACATTAATATAATGTCAAAAATAAAAATGGCAGAAAGTTAATAAATTCATCAAATTTGATTCATCCTTATCCAATTCTGTTCCTAAAATGAACAAATATACAGATGACACTTAGAATCTAATTTTTAAATTGACATATATCTTGTATTCAATAAAACCCAATAATTTACTCAAAAGAAAAGCAATAAAAATATATATCATTAAATTTCCATTTTATTATTTAATCATTACATTATTGCTCAATATATAAATAATTCAAGTGAATCAATTTTCTGTATTTTATCTTTTTATTCTTTTATATTGAGTTGAAGGATATTTTTATACAAAATTAAAATTGAATTAATTGAATTTATCCTCAGTAAATAGGGTTGGTATTTCCAATTCTTATATTCCTATATTATTTTTTGATGTATCTGTTTCTGATTAAGAATTTTTATTTTCACTTACACTTCTAGTTTTAGTTTGTGATTACCTTGATACTTTAGTATGACTAACAACAAATTAAGATAATTCATCTACAAATGGTTGAGTTATCTTTTTAACACTGTGAAAATCAAATTTATATTTTTATGGCTACTCATAAAAAACATTAGTTTCATTATTAGCCTTTTTAATTAATGCAGCATTTCGTAATAATATCTAATTAAGATTTTCTGTCTTCTCAGTTTGGATATTTAAATTTTATTGAATAGCATTTTCATAATTGAATCTTATTTGTTCTGTCTGTTAATTTAATAAATGAACTGTTTATCTATTATTCAATAATTCCTATTAAGCTTCTTCACTATATAATTTAAACCTTTTTAAGTCTTATACTTCTCTTCTGTATCTAAAGAGATAATCTTTTTATGAACCTATTTTTTATTCTGACTATTACAAATCCATTAATCTTTATTAATGTGTAGATTTCCAATATCTAACTTAATCAGCCAAATCGTTCTTTCTCTAATTTTGCATTTCATGTATATTCCTTTACTTATCTAATTATAATGCTAATTGATTATTATATTCAATAAGATCTTTATTTGCCCTCAATAAATTTTATTCTAAATACTTCGGCTGATTTATCTCTTCTTGATATTTTTCTTTTGCCTCTTCTAATTTTTTTTAAGTGTCTTCTAATTTTTTTTATGCTTATACTAATTTTTCTTTTGCATCCTCATATTAATACTCAAACTTTTTTTATATTTATTCAAGTTCGTTATTTTTCTGTTTTAATTCATTGCAATATTCATTAAGATTCTTTAAATTCTCTTTCTATTGAGTATTTTCCTTCTCTAAATTTTAACAATTTGTTTAAAGCTCCTTATTCAAAGTCACAAAAGTAGTTTATGCTGTAAATTTAGTTCTTATTTAAATTAATTCTTATTCCTGTAATTATAATGACATTTCTGAATTTTTCAATTTTACTTCTTTTTCTTATAATGCCATCTTTAAACTTTACCATTCCAACCATAATTTTAAATATTCATTCTTAAATAAATCTCCCAATCGATCTTCTATTTATTTTAAGATTTCTTTAAGTAACCTAATGAATCGTGAGTTCACTTTCTAAATTTCTACAAAATTTGCAGCTCTAATAGCTTCAATTACTTTATCTTAACTTATAACTTATGCCTTAACTCTATTGAATATAATTTTATACATTCAATCAACTCTCCTTCACCTTTATGTGGTGATGCTTTTTCACATTTCAACAAACTATCCTAAGCTAAATTTTAAAACTAAGAAAAATAAGTATTAGGATCAAATAAACTATTTGATTTTACATTTATTTCTTTGTCTATTATTTTTCTTATAGATTATTCATCTAATTTATAATCTAACAAATTATTTTGCATTTTATTTTTAGAATAAAAAAATTTCAATCAATAAAAAAATTTCAATTAATAAAAAATAAATATATTTTACAATAATTATAAATCATATTCAATATTAAAATTAACTTATAAAACTACTCTATGTTCTTTTCATGTTTAGACTTTTTAAATTATATTATATTGATATTAATAGTAATATTATATTTTCAATAATTTTTTGAGATATCTTTCAAGATTTTACTGTTTAGACAATCAAATTTAAATAATAAACTTAAACAACTATAGTTTAATTTTATCTAATTTTAATTCTACTTATTTTTTAAAATATCATTATCTTCTATGTATCTATCTGATAGTTCTAAATTTAACTAGTTATTTATAATCTAATTATCATCTATAACTTCTCTTTGATTAAAGCAACATCAATTTCCTTTATTATATTGGATTTTCCAAACTATATTTGTTATCAACAATTAATTATATTTTATTAATTAGAATCATCCAATCTAATAATTACATTATTAATGCTAATAATTATTTTAAACATATTATAATAGTTTACAATAAAACCTGACTTGAAATAAATGATTAAAAATCTTTATTACATTAAAGCTTTTCCAATAATAGTTTAACTATTTTTTAGAATTGTTTTGATATTTGGTGAAATAAAATTTATTGTTTAATGATTAATCTTTTGACAATTGTTTATGATACAATTAGAAATAGATAAGTTTATTGTGAATAGCTTTATTTTGAATAATTTAGAATAAAAGATAATAATATTAAGTTTCTAAATTATAAGGATTGGTAAAGATGTTAGTATTGATTTAATTTAAGTATGAGAATGTTTAAAAAGAGGCCAAAATTTATGTTAATAATTGGTTTATATAGATTTATAAATATTTTTTATATATAGATATGCTTAATCGTGCAATTAACATAGGTTTTCGTAAAGCTTTGCCTCAATATAGATTTTCATCTAGAAGTAAAGTGATAATAGATATGAAATAGATGGGCCTTATAATCCAAATAGATATAGACATTATTTGAATCCAAACTTTTTCTAATCAAATAAAGAAATAGCAGATATAGCTAAATCATAATAAGTACCACTTCCAGGTATATATATATAAATTGATTATGGAAAGTGCGTAATGTCAGACATGTAAATCCAGTGAGATAATCAGGTCCTTTACCTCCATATGATGGTCCATATACGTATTTAATAGTTAATATTATTATATAGTATGGAAGATGTCAGAGCTGTATGGTAGAATACTTCAATTGGTAGATAAGGAACATGGAGTTGTTAAATGGATCCAGATGAAATAATGAGAAGAGTGCCAGGTAATTAGATATATATATATAAAATGATTAGGCATTACTAGAAGAGAAGTTGAAAAGATCTTGAATATGGGTTTAACACCATAAGAATAAGTTGATTTTGCATATCTAGTTTATAATTGTGGTTTTGATGTTGATTATGTTCCAAACAGTGTTTATGTTGCAAGATAAGTTGTGACAAATTCTAAAGGAGAGAAAGTTGAAATCCTTTGGAATGTTTAAGTTTTAGAAGATTTAGCTAAATTACCTGTTGGATTTGCACCTGTAAGGGAATTGATAGATTATCATTGGGAAATATTCTTATGGTCAGATCCTATGATTAAACCAACAGGTGATTTAGATTTAGGTGTACCTAACACATGGTTTGAATATGAATGCGAATGTATTTAGAAATATTAATTTTGTTTAGGGGGAGGTGAAATGGTTGGTATTGAAGATTAATTTAATATTCCTGAAAGTGATAGAGTTTTTCCATCACCTAGAAATCCTAATTGTAGAAAAGAATTATGGAAATCTTAGGATGATATCTAAGAATAATTAGAAATGGAAGGTTTATATTATTTATACTTTTATTTCTAGATGAAAATTGGTATCCTAAAGGAACATCTTACAACATTTATTAATAAGCTGACTATAAAAAAGTAACTAAATCAGACAGCACGTTCTAAGAAAAAATATGATAATTTAAGCATATCAATATTCAATATAATATTATTTCTTTATTAAATAAATTAAACAATCTATTTCTAATGCAGAATAGAATTTGTGATGTTTATATACCTGCTTTAAGTGGAATTGCTATGCTCATTTTACTAACTATTAGATATGCTTAACTTAAAAATACTGGAAATCATTAATATAGATAATATAACACAACTTTAAAAATTAGAGTGTTCTTACTCATTCTATGTATTATATTAACCTTAACCTATAACTATATTTCTATTTTGAACCCAAAATTCTATTTATATAAATCAGACTACTCTTAAATATTTATATTTATGTGTATAGTCTATTCAACTTAAGTGGCAGGCATTTTATATGTCTACAATAAAAATCTGCCTATTATGTTTACTCATAAAATATTTTGGATTATTTGTCTAATTACTAATCTAATTTAAGCAATATTGAATTTGATAAACAATTATGATGAATTTGACATCATAAGTAATATAGTATTATATTTAATTATACTTGTTCAATTCATTCTAAATATTTTTAGTTTTTTTATTAGAAAATAGGATAAGTTTGAATTTGAAGATATCTCAGGACTTGCAATGAATGTTCCCGATTATTAAGACAGTAGAGAATAAATGATACCTATTTAAAATAGTTTTATTGGATTAACATCTGCAGTTTCTTAGTTTAAATGTATTATACATTTTAGTAAGAGTTGGAAAATAGTTTAATAAAAAGATGGACAAATTGATGCTGTAATAACGTTGAAAATATTTTTGTCTAATCCAAATAAACATTATCAACTTAAAAAGTCTATTCATGATTTTGTTATGCTTGAAGGAATACTTTAATAAGAAGATAAATTTGGATTTGAAATTTATAAATTGCCAAATGACTTTTTTCATCATGGACCTGACACTCATTAAATGTTTAATGAGAAAATAAGTATTATTAAGATTTGGCTCAGACAAATAATTTCTAAAATAGAATATTTGACTCCAAGGATTTTTGATTTTTTAGAATTTGATGATGCAACTAGGTTTTGTATAATGAAGGAATAAAGAAATAAAAGTAACTCGGTTGATCAGAATAATTGATATTTTAAATATTTATTATTCACATAACTCTATACATGCAATAATGATTAAATTCATTATTAGACGTATTCTACATTTTGAAATTAATTGTTGAATTTTGTTTAATCTAATTATATAAAGAATATACTTACTGGGTATTGAAATGTTAGTGATCTTTAGGAAATTAGTATAATGAATCTATTAAATTTGTGAAAGTGATGAATAAAAGTTCTTATATTCATTCTAATCCACTTATTAATTATTAATCCATTTCTTAAGCATTGAGATAGTCTTAATTTTTTATTGCATTTTATCTATGTCTGATTTAAGTTTGGACATAAGGTTTTTTTTGATTTCATTAGAGATAGTTAAAGGTGATGAAGAATTCTCCAAAATTTCAGAAGCTTATTTATAATCTACAAGAGGTTTAGGTTTAATAAGTTGACTAAAATATTTACTCTCTTAATTCAAATCAGGTTGAGACTTAATAGAAATGGATTGAAGAGCAAATGTATTCCAATTCCAAAAATTTTATAAAGGAAAATCGCCAAAATGTATTTATTCTTAAGTTATGAATTTGTGTTCCAATTTCTCACAAAATTCCTTAGTATTAGATTTACATTTGCTATATTTAGATAACTTGGTTCCATATGTAGATTTAGGTAACTTAAGTTTGTTTCCACTACTTGTAAGGTTATCAATTAAGTCTATGTTATCTGATATTAGTTCACTTAATCCATCATCTTCAGATATGAAAATATGTCTTTTTCTTAAAAAGTTAATTTAAATAACATACTTACAATGTTCTAATGGACATCTACCAAGAAAATTGTAATGGGCACAAATGTGGGCATTACAATTTTAGAAGTTCTAAAGATCTGAACTACTCTTACTGATCTTCTTAAATGAACTCTAACTAAGATTGATGTTCCTATGACTACTCTATTAGCTCTAATCAAGTTAAGTCTGATTTATTTACAGAACATAAATGTTGGGATGAAAAGCTAGAATCACCTTGTTCATGTGCACCTAAACCTTAAATAACCATTTCCTATCCACTATGAATCGTAGGTTTTGTTGTTAATAGTTCACTCTCCTACAGATGCTAGGCCATATCTATAATTAAAAATGTTTTTTTCTTTTTAAATTTTTCCCCTCATAAAGTGAGATTTATACTGCCATCTCCCTTAAGATACAAATAAAACAGAACAATATTTCATTGCAAACAAATAATATTATATCAAATCAACCATTAAGTCTCCATTAAGAGCGTTAATTTTGTGTAGAACATCAACACATAGACAATAATAATTTTAGAGAACATTTGCATCTTCCTATTTTTAAGAAACTATTCCATTTCTTTCATTTACTTTTCATACATCCTATAAATCACCAGACAGCATATTTTTAAATATCTTGGACTTTTACATCAATATTGTGATGATGCTGACAAAAATTATATTTATAAAGACTACACTCAATATTTCAATAAATAATATTTAATCATCACATAATATTATTTTTTTATACAATCTCCACCTCATCAATTACAAATTTTTAATCTTCTATAGTATAATATATTAATTATTATAATAACATGGAAAACAGTTAATTAAGTAAACCTATTTTATTTATAATATAAACTCTTTAAATTCTTTGCGCAACTGTAAATATTTAGATTTTACAAATTATTTTGATAATTATAAATAAAATAAGTCATACTCTTTCCTATTTTTATTTTTCTATTATTCCAGATTCATACATGTAACAATTTCTAAATTAAGTACTCATATTATAGAATTGAGATGTCTCTGAAATAAACTTCTTCTTTCTAAATTAGATAGCACTATTTTTTTAAAAGAATCAAATACCAATTATCAACTGATTTTATTTCTATCTTTTGATTGATGAATTTATGCTTTAATTTTTTATTTTCGTCTTTATTGAATATGTTTATGATATTTCATCTGGAATTCGATCAACTTACTAAATTGAGCTATTAAAAATTAGGTCTAAAGGATGGATCTTTAGGAAGTAATACTTAAATGAGGACTTAAAGATTCTCATCTAATGACATATAATGTTAATTTTATTTTTAGAAATTAATTAATTCGCAATACTTAGTTGTATACTCAAATAATAATTTATATAATCATTAATACTAATTAAAATTTTAATTAAAATAGTTATCTTATACTTTTTGGGCTTAAAAAGATTGAATATGAGGGTCCAAAAGTTGAAGAAATTTAAACCTATTCCATTTAAGAAAAAGTAGTGATTAGCTGAAAGTATGCGATTTTTTTGATCACGATGTTATTGAGATCTAGCTCAGGATATTCATTGAGAAAATAAATTATTTGTAATTAATTTTACACAACTTCTTAAAGTGAGATCATATTTCTAGTAGGCTGAGAAATGAATGTCCAGCATAAATAGACAAATATATCTATGAATAGGTTGATGAGCATCTATTATTAATAGTATCTAAGTGCTCTTGCTTATGCTCTATCACTTAGACACTTAAATTTATCCTTGTAAAATTATATAAAGAGAGATCCTTTATATGAGTAGGGTTTTCTTTCCTTAATAGCAGAAATGTTTTTTATTGATTTAGGATTTAGAAATTTTAACAACTAGCTTAACTGTCTTGATTGATGAAAAGACAAATATTTTGAATTGTATATTGCAGCAATGAAAAAGGGAAAACCGTTTAAACTATGCCATGAAATTTTTCCAAAGCATCGAGAATCTGATTGATAATCCATCTTTTAGTCTAATAGTTCATTTTGATATTAAAATAAGTTTATTTATAATGTACATTATAAGAAATCATTGTTACTAAGAGATAATTACATCCTTTATGACTTTTGAAAGATTCTCCTATAATTCAGATTCTTTAGCCATATTCTCGAAGTTCAAACCATTTCTACCGGTTGACATCTCTGTTTTTACTGCAATTTTCTTATAATTAGGTAAATTCTATTAAGGTAATTGATCCATGATAATTAAATAATTATTTTAAATATTAAGATTATTTTAATTTGCTTTTGCTTCATAAACTGATTTTTAATCATTTAAATAATTTCTATTAAAATATTTCTATTAAAATATTTCTATAAAAAATTTCTATTATTTATAGAAAATTGGTTTTTACAAGTGAAAAGTTTTAACGTATATTATTATTGAAATAAATTTAATATTAATATATGATGTTTTATGATGATTAACTTTATAATCCTTAATTGGAGCTATTAGTTGGCAGATTTGAAAATAGATTTCAAATTATTAAATAGGAGTTTAAAAGAATTTTCATATGAAGTATTAACAAAGAGATATTCCTAACAAGACTATTCTTATTATACGGAATCATAATAGTAATTGATAGGAATGCATAAAAATTAATTATCGAAAAATAAGTGATTAATCTTTAGAGAAATTTTAAAGATAAAGAATAGAAATAAATGAATTACAGTTAGTATTAGACGAGATTATATTATTGATATCATATATTAGAATGAAATTATAGAAAGAAAACTAAAAAATTTAAGTTAGTAATGATGACTTATTGAGCAATAAAATAAATTGAAAAGAATAGAAGAATATGTAAAAGAATAATAAGAAATAATTAAATAGAAAAGAACATTATATGAAAAAAAGATATTGTAGCTCCTGTTAAACCAATAAATCTTTAATAATGGATAAGCTCAGAGAATGATTTAAATTTTCGTTAATGATAGATTAGGAAAAAAAGAGAGAATTAAATGCTTTTTTTTTATAATCATTGGAGATCTTAAAAAATTGATTGCAGCTAAGATTGGTGTTAACCTGAAAAGATTAGATTATAAAAATAACAAAGTGTTTTTAAGGATCATATAACTTTAGAAGATTATGAAATAAAACATGAAATATGTTTGGAAATGTATTACCTCTAAGCAGACAGTTAAGTTTATTTTACTACTACCCAATCAGCGATCTAATCAATTAATATGATATCATTCTATATGTAAGTATTTATATTCTAATAATTTATTAGATCATAAACATTAATTTAGTTTTGATTTGAATTCGATTCATCAATCTCCATAAATACTTAGGAATGGGTTTTACAATTCCAAGAATTATTATGAATAAAAAGTGTTAATTCATAGAAGAAATAAATGTTATTTCATAATATTAATTAACAAATGTATTAATCTAGTAATGATTATCTTTTATAGTATCTAAATTAAATAAGAAAAAATAGAAAATACATATATATTATTTATATCCATTATAACTTCTTAGGATAGAGATCTATAAACATTGTAATAACCAACATTAGAACAATAATAGATTACTTCATCTAATTTACCAATAAAATAATAAGTTGATATAAACTTATAATATTTACCACAATTTTTCAATAACGTTGATCTATTTACTCCAATAGCAACCTCTTTATTCTTAAATTTAACCAACTTAATTTACTAATTAAAAATCTCTAAGTGATTAATCTTAAAATAACAAATCTTTTAATCATAATAAAAGGGAATATTATAATAGGTTATTCTATAATATAATTTATCTCATACGAAAGAACTATAATTGAATATAAAGAAATTAAAAAATATATTTTATATAGTTTACTTAAACAGTTCCTTAATAATAATCTATTACATAGGATTTAAGTAAAACTAGATTATATTAATAAAGATAATTTTAACAATAATTAAAATAATAATAAGGAGTTTCTTAAAAGATTAATATAGAAAAATCATTTTTAGAGAAACTATTCGATTGATTATATGATACCATTATAATAACCTAATATTTCTATAATTATTCATTAGAGTGTAAATTTATTTTATACATTTCCTCCAATCGAAATTTCCACGTGAATAGGATTGATATTATTATTTTAGATTGGTACAAATTCTACTTTTGTAGCAGTTTTCTTTTTTTTATTTTTAGATTTCTTAGGTTTTGATTAAGCTCTATAAGTAAAAACTATTGTTTTAGCTGTGGCATATTTCAAATTTAATTATTGAGCTGCCTTATTTTAAAATCAATATTGCTACTTAGTTTATTTTAACACCCTACTATATTACTAACTTAAGTAATTATGATTTAAGATTCTCAGGAACTTTTTGATAATTTCTTACTTTTTTAATAGCACTTTTCACTTATTTCTAGCTTTCTTATTATCTTGATGACTATTCTTAATCATCAGCTTAAAGTTCTTCATTATTTTCTTGATCTTAACTTTATTCTTATTAAGATTATGATGACATTTATATAAAAAAATATTTAATTATCAAAATCAAGCATCATTTCTACTATCATAATTATCCTTTGTATATTATCATCCATTTAATTGTTTTTATATCCTTATAATTAATCTCTTAAATTGACTCCTTTTTAAGGATTCAATTGTTAAATAAACTGAAATATAAAGTAATTCTCCATATACATTATAATTTTCATTCACTGATAATTTTGATTAAGTTTAAGATTTTTGTTAATCAAAAAAAATAGATTCATACTCAGTTTCGACTATTTGATGTAGATTATGATTGATTTTGTTAAAACTGATAACGAACCCACTCTATTCAAATTTAATTTTTCTGATTATTTCATTTTCATTTTCTCACCTTCTACGTTATTCTCATATTATCTTGATTACATTTACTTCTTCACTAAGTAATTATTTCTCACTCATAATAATAAAATTAATTAAATTGAAATAAATCAAAAGGCCTTTCATATATTCCTTTGATAAATTTTATAAAAATTTTAACTGCAAAAAGATTTTATTTTCTTTAATCCAAGGCAAATTCATTTATTTCAATAGTAATAATGACAGTATAATTCAAGAAACTATTAGATCTATTTATTATC